GTAGCCAAGAACAGGATTGCTACTGCCTATTAGCCAAAATTATGAAGAGAGTAGGGGACTTAGTTTGCCTTACTTCATACTTCTTGATGCGGATATATGTAGGTCATAGGGGAATATATTAAGAAGTAAAATGATACTTTCTTTACCATTGCTAATATACTTTTTATGGTTTAGGAAATGTGATCCCTTTTTATATTAGAGAAGAAAATTAGTGATATGAATATAGCCAGTGTTTCTTCAGAACTTGAGCACTGGGCTAAGCTGTGTAAAGAATACAGAGAAAACAACTAGGCCTTGCTTTACAGAGCTAACAGGTACATTGCCTTTAAGATATTGACATGGAGCAGCAAATAATAAAAGACAACATTTTATTAACCGTTGAATTGTATAGAGCAGATTAAAAATGGCAATGAATGTTCGGAGAAGGGAAGCCCATGATAGGCTTGAGCATTCAAGCTATTACAGCAGGAGTTGGAACTTGAGCCTCGAAGCCTATGTAGGACTTAAACTAGGGACAGGAAACAAGAGGAACCACGTGAGAAGAGACAGGAGCCAATGTGGCAGTGGCAATGGAAAGGAAAGAATCACTGTGAGAATAATTTCAATGGAGCAAATGACAGAACTTAGGGACCACCTGGTTATAAGCAAGGTGCAAAAAAAGGAGAAGGAAGGTGCGAATATGCTTCCAAGGTCTAGGTTAAAGGAAGAGAATAATGTGTCACTGACATAGATGAAGAATTTGTAAAGGGGAACACATTTCCAAGAAAAGATAACATTTAATTTTATATGTTTCACATAAGATGGTATTATTTTGTGGTAAGATATCCAAATGGAAATTTTCATTATACAATAGAGATGAGAGACTAGAGCATATTTGAAAATATATTACTAGAGAAATAAATTTGTTGGTCATCAGCATAGAAGTGATTGTCAAAGCTATCAAATACAGTTAAACTGTTCTAATTCCCTTAGAAAGAAAAGCAGAAGACTAAAAACTAAATTTTGGGAAAAGGCAAGAGTGTTAGGGAAGAATGGAAGAATGGGAGTAGTTAGGAAGGGAGTAATCAACAGTGTCACAGCTGCAGACAAAGTCAAGAGAAAAAGTTCTGAGAAGAGGACATTGAATTTGGCAGTAAAGAAGAGAAGGTGAATTTATCTTTTTGCATAAATTTACTGAATAATAAATTATTTTCAGCAAAACGACAGCATCAAAAATCAGGTTTCAAAATGTCTTAAGAAAGGAGAGGATATTAGGGAAATGAAAACAATGGAAAATCCACTTACTGGTGATAAGTGAAAAGAAAATAGCAAAGGTAAGAATTTTTGAAATAATAAAAATATTCTATACATTTTGAGGGATACATGTCTGTATCCACTACATATTTGATATCTAGTGGAGGAATGGCAGCTGGCAAAGCTAAAATGGTAGCAGTCTCTAATTGAGGTAAGAACATATTATTGACATTGCATCTAAAAGGCATTTAGACAAGATGTGGAAATAGAGCTCTACTTTATATCATGTTTACTTTCTAAAAATGAAAACTGCATGTATTTCTTTGTCACACAATAAGAATTTACTTTTTGTGTAATAATGAATTAAAACGTCTGACTAGTGATAGTCACTATTTGACTAGCTAAATGATTTAAATGAAATGTTTCTTGCACTATTGAATATTTGTCACATCATTGATTGCCGAGTTAGCACATAATTACAAATATATGTTTAATACTAGAGTGCCAGTTTTTCAAGCAGCAGATGAAAATTGCCATAAATATTCATACACAGGGGTGTCTCATCTTGTTTTAAGTTTGGCTATACTTTAAATTTATAGCTTTAAAGGGAAAGTGCTTGCATATTATAATCTCATTACATGTTGTACTGACACCTGAACAGAAGTAATGAAGAATTTTTTTTAATGTAGTTAGGGTCTTTTTATACTTGCTAATTAATTTTCTCAACTGTTTTAAAATATGGAATTTGTTTTAAAATACATTTTGAATGCACATAGCGTAGTATATTTAGGCACAGGTAGGTATCTTGCCACTAGCTGCTAAGTATAGAGAGATTTTGTGCTTAAGACTGACTTGTGTCTTTGAAAATGGGCTACTAGCATAAATGATGCAAGCACAATATGATATTCCTGCATAGAGTTGTAAATGTACATTGTATTCCTACCATTTCTTTAATGTGACCCTAAGACCAAAGTGCCATAAATCAGTTGAATCAAATAGTACAGTAGCTTATTATTCAACAAGGTTTTGATCCTTTTGTAGTTCATAAGCGTGATGATTGGGTTTTCACGCGCATGCGTGAGATGTGCCTCCCTCAGACCTTGTTACGACATCGGCGCATTACCCGTCTGACGTAAAAAAAGAAAAAAGAAAAAAAACACACAAGGTTTTATTAAACACCTGTTAGGGCAGAAAGGACTTCAGGTTAAACATTTGAAAGTTACGCCCCCCCCCCCACTTACTAACTGCATGACTGTGGGTAAGTCATTTAATTAGTTTATTTTTAATTTTTTTTCTAAATGTCAGCTTCCTTGTATATAAAATAGAGATAACAATACCTCTCTTGAAGGCTTTTAAAGTATAGAAGTAATATATAGTCATGGATCACGTTAACTATAGGGATACATTCTGAGAAATGTGTCTTTAGGTGATTTCATTGTGCAGACATCATAGAGTGTACTTCATCATAGAGTGTACACATCATAGAGTGTACATCATAGAGTGTACACAAACCTACATTGTATAATAGCCTACTACATGCCTGGGCTATGTGGTATAGCCTATTACTCCTAGACCAAAACCTGTACAGCATGGTACTGTACTGCATATTATAGGCAGTTGTAACACTATGGTAAGTATTTATGTATCTTAACATATCTAAACATAAAAGGTACAGTAAAATATAGTATAAAGATAAGAAATGGTACACCCATATAGGTACTTACCATGAATGGAACTTGCAAAAATTGGAAGTTGCTCTGGGTGAGTCAGTGAGTGAGTGGTGAGTGAATGTGAACGCCTAGACATTACTGTACACTACTGTAGACTTTATAAATACTGTATGCTTAGACTACACTAAATCATTTTAAAAATGTTTTCTCAATAATATTACTTAGCTTACTGTAACTTTTTATTTTATAAACTTTAAAAAATTTTTTGACTTTTGTCAAACACAATACATTGTAGAGCTCTATAAAAATATCCTATCCTTATTCTATAAACTTTTTTCTATTTAATTTTTTTAACTTTTTTTTAAAAACTAGACATACACATGTTAGCCTAGGCCTACATAGGGTCAGAATCATCAATATCACTGTCTTCCACCTCCACATTTTGTCCCACTGGCAGGTCTTCAGGAACAATAATACACCTGGAGCTGTCATCTGCTATGATAATAGTGCCGCCTTCTGGACTACTTCTTGAAGGACCGGCCTGAAGCGTTTTACAGTCAACTTTTTTTATATAAGTAGAAAGAATACACTCTAAAATAATGATTAAAAGTATAGTATAGGCTGGGCACAGTGGCTCACGCCTGTAATCCTAGCACTCTGGGAGGCCGAGGAGGGTGGATTGCTCAAGGTCAGGAGTTCAACCAGCCTGAGTGAGACCCGTCTCTACTAAAATAGAAAGAAACTAATTGACCAACTAAAATATATATATACACAAACAATTATCTGGGCTGGTGGCACATGCCTGTAGTCCCAGCTACTCGGGAGGCTGAGGCAGAAGGATCGCTTGAGCCCAGGAGTTTGAGGTTGCTGTGAGCTAGGCTGACGCCACGGCACTCACTCTAGCCTGGGCAACAAAGTGAGACTCTGTCTCAAAAAAAAAAAAAAAGTATAGTATAGAAAATACATAAGCCAGTAACATAGTCATCTATTATCAATATCAAATATTATGTACTGTACATAATTGCATGTGCTATACTTTTATGTGACTGGCAGTGAAGTAGGTTTATTTATACCAGCATCACCACAAACACGTGAGGAGTGCATTGCACTATGACATTACAAGCAGTACAACATCACTAGGTGATAGAAATTTTTCAGCACTGCTATAATCTTACAGTACTACTGTCGTATTTGCAGTCTGTCATTGACCAAAATATCAATTATTATGCAGCACATGGCTGTATTTATTTAGCACAGTGTTGAGCCCATGGTATGTACATAGTTATTGGTAACTGTTATTGTTATTGCCTACTTCATGTGGAGTTCTCAATAAACGTTAGTGTCTTTTCCTTTTTGCTAACAACCTGTTCTCCACTAACATAAAATTGTAGTCACTAACATTAAGGAAATAACCTTTGTTATCCCTATTGAAATCAACAAGCAGGTGAGTAAAGGCTTGTAAAACTGATTTTTACTTCTTAATACAGATTTCAGTGAATGTACTAAAAGAGAGATCTTTCAAGACTAGGATCTGTTTTCTCAAAATTGGTCAAGTTCACACATGAAAGCCATTTGTAAGGATCAACCTTTGAGTGAATAGTAACTGGTCACAAGTTGTCCAGCTCTATAGTTCCAAAGGCTCTATTAGTTGGAGAGGAGGTACTTTTTATTAGGAACATTTGCATACACATACACGAAAGTGCAAAGAATAGTCTGATGCACTCCCACATACTACCCATCATCCAGCTCCAACAATTATAAACTAAAGTGTGTTTTGACAGAAACAATTAATTCAAAAATTGACATTTCCACCTGTATATATAAGTGTTTCTCTAATTTATTATTTTTTAATCCCACATCATGAATCTAGTTAGAATCCCACTTTAACATTTGTTCCTTGTTAAGCTTCTTTTACTATTAATTTGGATTAATAAAGATTTATTTTCTATAAGCATCATATAAAATGTTTTCAGTTCACATTTTTAAATCAAAAGACCAAGAGAAAAATGCATGATTTTGTAACTTTTTTTAAAAAAAAAGAGGGAAAGAGTTAAATGTGCCGGGTAGAATATATTTTGTTTTGTCTTTGTTTTTAAGGTTTGGCTTGAGCAACAAGTTTGATACTGAATTTCCCTCAGTTCTAACAGGGAAGGTAAGTGAGAACCTGCTTTGAATTTTTCAATTCTAAAGCATTGTTTTATGGCTTATTCAGTGTTAAGACAAATGCTCTGAATCATTGGTAATAAAGTTAAATAACAGGAGGCCTCCGTACTTGGAAACTGTGTTGGTAGTGTCTGAAAGCTGTCTCCATGGCTACCAGCCTCTGACCAATTATTTTGTCCATTGTCCATTAATGCCAGCTATTATTTATTTATCTGCTCAGCTTTTGCAGTTTTTCATGTTTTCCTCAGCACAGGAAGCTATAATTGTTTTCATCTAGGTCAGTAATTGCCTATGTTTTTAGAGTTAAAGGTATTTTTTAACTATATCACTCTATTAATTTTTAAAGTGCCATATAGTATGATTTATTATACATGAAAAAAATCAAATTTTGGTTAGATATTTTTCTGACTTTTGGATAGTTTTGAGTTTCTAAAATTAGACTCACTGTTATAAATTACCTTTCTGTTCCCTGGTTCCTCTACATTCAGTAGTATCTTCTAGCAAATTCAAAGACCTCCTAGAATTTGAAACTATAAGTCTAGAGACCTAGTGTACAGCATGATCACTATAGTTAATATTGTATTGTATACTGGAAATTTGCAAAGAGAGTATATTTCAGGTGCTCTTACCACACACACACAAAAAAGATAACTGTCTAAGGAGATAAATATGTTAATTTGCTTGACTATAGTAATTTCACTGTGTATATGTGAATAAAAATATTATGTTGTATACTTCAAATATATACAATTTAAAAAAAGAAACTAGATTTGGAATATCCTCTTGTAACTGTAATGCTAACTTTCTAGGCCCAAAAGGAGAAGACTCTGCCTGGGGCAAAATGTTATTTACTTTCCTTTGTTACTGGAGGAAATGTAGAAGAAGAGAGAAAAGCCATTAGATTACAGAATGGTCAATGATTTCCAAATGGCTAATAGCTGAATGCTTGGGTGGCTAAAATGATGATTTGGGGTTAATTTTTTGTATTTCAGAGGCTGTAATTTAATTTCATTCTGTTTAATTTTAGTACTAGAATAATGTTATTTGTCAGTATAGATTTTTAGTGTATTTTCAAATTATTCCATTTTGAAAGGGCTTTTGTACTATTTCAGTGTGAATTTTTCTCATATTGTTAGTGAGAAAAGCCAGGTATGAATCAGTACATATAGTATTATAAGAAATGGGAGAAATAAACACATTAATAATTGTATTTTTGCATAAAGGAGTTCTAGAAAGATATACATGAAACTAATAAAAAATGATTACCTTTGATGGAAGAAGGGGAATGAGATGGATGGAGGCAAGGGTGACAATGAGGCATTTGCCTGAATATCTTTTGGTATTGTTTTCATTTTTGAACCTTCATTTAGTTTTAATTTGTTCTCTCTTGTTCTAAATTCTTTGAGAATGGTCTAAGATGCTTCTACCGATACTGCCTTCTTTTTGTCATGATGCATTTTCCAGCTGTTTACTTTCCTCACTTTTGGCCTAATGACAATCTTCTTCACAGCCTTCTACGGTGGGTAGAAAAAGACAGCAGACCTGTTTATTTTTTCAAAGAAGTATCTGTGAAATCATAAGAAATTCTATTTAATTTAACCTTGAAAGTTATGTTGTACTTTATTTGCTTCGTTTCCCCCCTGAAAAACCAGAGCTAGCTTGAGACAAAATAGTTAAACAAGCTTTACAGTCAGATCTGGGTTGAAATCCGGGTTGTGTCATTTACTGGCTGTGTGGTCTTGGGCATGCCACTTTTCTGAGCCTCCAGTTCTTATGTAAAAAATAGAGATGCTGCTGATAGCGATCTCGCTTCTTGTTTTAAGGATTAAATGAGAGAGCATATATAAAATTGCTAGTATATTGTTAGGTACTTATTAGTTTCCCAATGTTAGTTTGTGGTTGCTATTGACTGTTCTTCGTCAATGTATCCCAGTTTCACCCTGATTGTTTTTCCAATTTACTCACTCAATTTTTAATTGCTTTCACTACTTTATCTAAATAATGGTGTTTTCTCTGATCCCACCACTAATTCGTCCTTATTGACTGTGGACGTTTTCTATCTCTCCTGAGGTATAATAGCAAATCTTTCCATAGATTAAAAAGCAGATGATCATAGTCCCTGGCTAAATTAACCCTAGAAAATTTGTGGCCATTTAACTTTTTAGGACACAACCTTTTGGTGTGAGTTTTGGCCTCACTCTCTAGTATGTTGTGCTTTCCTATCCTATTCATTTAGAATAATTCAGCAATTGAAGCAGCAGCCTAGACTTGAATTTGTTTACATAAATTAAGCATTCATTTGTTTTCTCCTAATGAATAAAATAGCTGTGGTAATATCTCTTGAGTAATAACATATTTGTAGAAAGATGATAAATTCAATATTAAAATTTAAAAGAATGTGAATTACCAGAGCTACAATGGAAAACTTATTCTTCATGTTTCCCTTGATGCTGCTGCATGTGTTATCTGGGCAGTTATGTCCAGCTTTAATATTGACTTCGTTTTTAAAAAGTTTAAATTACAGGTCCAAGAAATTCTAGAAAATGCATATCCTAAAATGTATGTCAGTGAATGGAGCTCCCAGGTATAAGAATTAACCGTTTTTGAAACTGGGCAATTTTATGTGCTCAAGGAATCCTCAGAATATCTTTTCACACCTCATTTATTTCCAAGCCATCTGAAACTAAAAATTCCACTGGCCCAAAATATAGTATACTTTTTTAAACTAGAGAAGTAAGAATGGTAAGCAGCTTTTGATTTGCATTCATACAACCTAAGTGCTCTGGATACGAGCTGTTCTTGAAGATATCTGTTCTTTCCAAGTTACTGTTTTTGTAGCACATATAATGATGCATGGATATTTATTCAGTGTGCATTATCTATAGTAGTCAAAATGTCTCATGTGTTAGATAAGGTATAAATGATAGTGTGATTTTTTTTTTTTTAGTGTGTGTTTGGTGATGAGAAAAACTCTAAAAGGAATTCTGAAAGTCTGATTTTTGAAAGTCACATGGTAATAACATTGGTTTCATTCATTTTCTCTTTAATGAGATAATTTTTTCCAGTAGGCACTTTAATTTGTGTAGTTTCCTTTGGATTATCAAAATGTTTCTCTGATAACTGGGGGGAAGAGGCAAAAAGAATTTACAGAATCTGAAAAAGAATTAAAAGGGAAAAAAGGTCTGAATTCCATACTTAACAGCCCTTGTGTTAAAATGTTTAAAAATAAATAAATGTAACTGCTAAAGTAGAAAAAATATTACAAAACTAGTCATCCAGTATGAATGAGATCCTAAATAGCTTTTATACCTGCCTGAGCTAAACAAAATTGCGGAGTACAGTCTGTAAATCCAAAAAGCCATTTTAACAGGGTCTGTATGGCTCAATATTAATTTGTTTGCTTCCTACATTTAGAAAAGATTGTTTTCTCTGTTTCACTAAAGATAGGTCCTCCTGAGTGGAGAGGAGGTAAAAAAAAAAAAAAAAAAAAGATAAGTCCTCCTGTCATGACAGGACATATAGAGCAGGTATAGACACGCATATTCTGGTGACTAGAAAATGAAAGAACCACAGAACTTTAGAAATGAAATTAAAGCTTCCAGCCCTCAGCCCTCAGCTTGAAACAATTATATGGTGTTAAGGGGAGATTAGTGTGCAGTGTTGGGAATCGTAAGCTATAAAAATTGATCTTCACTATTGTGATCCAGTATGACAAGTGATTGAAAGGGTTATGTTCCCTACTATTGAAGGAGGGAAATCAGTCCTGCTGGGGTTTGCTTAGATTTTCTTCTGTTTGCAAAGTTTCCTGCATCCTGTTATAAAATATTATGACCCTTTCCCCCACCTTTATGATGTGGTTCTCTTTTTTCTTTCCAAAAGAGTAAAAGAGAATGAAATGTTTCTTTACAACCTACCGTTCGGCTAGAAAGTAAGGGGCTTCCAACTACGCTTCATTACTACAGATACTCAATTATATGGAAGTAAATGAGTAAAATGTTATTAACTCTGATTCTACACAGTTAACTAAACATTTCTTTCACATTGTTTAAAATTGGGAGTTAACCAATTCTCATTTCCTATGTTTTTATCTCTGTTTTATTACTTTTACTGTTATTCAAATACAGATTTCTTTCACAGCCAATCCTGGCCTCCTTTTAAAGTCAAAATGCAGATTTTAGTTTGTTGTTTGAAATTCTAGTAAAAGTGTTTCTTTTCAATATATTGTCTTATAACTTCAAAAATTTGAATTCTCAGTTTTAATAACTTGAGTGTTTTAATTTTTAATTTGAGGTAAGAGAGTACATACAAACTAAGAGTTATGTATTAAAAGTGGAAAGTGTTGGTAAAGAAGGAAAATTGTCACATTTTAGGAATGTTTTTGCTTTCATTTCCAGAAGTGTATAATAAAAGAAAAATTTTATGAACAATTTTATGTACTTAGCATACAATTTATTTTATTCAGCATGTTTTAAATAAAGAGCCAGTTTTCCTTTCCCCTCTTTCCTTTAATTCTCTAGATTTACTCTCCCTCAGACTTCCAACACTATTTATCCCTAATAGAAGTGGAGCTTTCTTTTCTGAGGCTCCTTATAAATATATTTTTTTTTCTTTTGAACTGTCTCATTTCTGCATTAGGCCTCACCCTTTACTTTTATTTTTGCATCTGTGCTGTGCTTACTTTTAAATAAAAAATTTAAATTATAATTACAAGCAGTTAAAATTGTAAATGGACAGATTTAACAGTTTTATGATGTGCATGAGTTTATATAAAAATTTGACATATTTTAAAAATGTGTTAATGATTCTGGATATACAATTTAAAGAGAAGTGATAGTAACATAATATTACAGATTAGAGCTAAATATGTACATTTTTCCTTATTTTAATTTCTGTTTGGTTGCTCAGTGATTCCCTAGGAAAAAAACAAGTTGAATATTGCAGTAAATCTTAAGATAGTAACTTTGTACCTTTTTTTTAGAAAGAACATCTTGGTTTTTTTCACTGAAGAATTGAAGAACTGAAGAGTGTTGAATCTGCATTCAAAATGTAGCAGATTATCCTTTTGTTTATAATATTATGTATAGCCAAACTGTGGAGAATTGTTATCTGATTAAAACCCTTGTCTTCAGCTGAGAATCCATGCAAATGAGCTTTTCTTTTCTTTCTCCAAATCTTAGAGACATTATTCATAGACTTGCTTTTTCAAAACATTCCAGTCAGGAGGTTCTTTCCAAGGTTTAATTTCCATTCTCTGTGAGGTATATAAAACAAAGATTATTATTCTCATTTGATTTTGCCTGGGATTTTTCATAGCTAATAAATAACTGTAGTCTAGATCTCTTGATTTACTATCTAATGTCCTTAGCTTGTTGGTAGTTTCTGTTTTTAATGATAAGACATGATTCCCTGAATTTATTTTCATACTTACCCCAGAAATTTTGTCATTTAATAGGAATTCTTTGTACACAGTGATTGTCTTTCTATCATGTTGCTGACAATCTAGATGGAGAATGAGATTAGTTTACTTGCCCCATGTAAACACATTTTCAAACCTTACAATTTCACAACTCTTGTTGGTTAACAAATTAGGAAGAAAATCCAATTCCTAAGCTAAGCAATTAACCTTATTGGGGACATAAGCAATTCTAGTAAAACTTATTTATTCAGTGTTCTAATCATGATTGAGCTGAATTCGGTGGTCCTGTATCTTTATAATATCTGCTAATAGGTATATGTTTTATAGTTTTGATTCTAAGACATCTCTATTAAAAGACAATAATGTAATAAATTGATTACTCTAGTACAATTTTTATTTGGAAGAGTAGTAAGGCTCGGCCAGGCGTGGTGGGTCACGCCTGTTATCCTAGCACTCTGGGAGGCCGAGGCGGGAGGATTGTTGGAGGTCAGGAGTTCGAAACCAGCCTGAGCAAGACCCCGTCTCTACCAAAAATAGAAAGAAATTAATGGACCAACTAAAAATATATATAAAAAATTAGCCGGGCATGGTGGCACATGCCTATAGTCCCAGCTACTCAGGAGGCTGAGGCAGGAGGATCGCTTGAGCCCAGGAGATTGAGGTTGCTGTGAGCTAGGCTGACACCACGGCACTCTAGCCTGGACAACGGAGTGAGACTCTGTCTCAAAAAACAAAACAAAAAAAGAGTAGTAAGGCTCTATACTTTTGATCTCTAATGTGCTAATGAGGTTTTCATTTTACAGCAGATTACTTTTCCGTAACAATTTCATAATTTTTCCTTTTACAGCCAAATGCTGAAATTTTTCCCATAAACCTTACATTCTGATGGCCTTGTAAATGAAAGGGAATCACTTTTGTGATCCAGAAATGTGACTTCACTGAAAGCAAACTATTTTTAGTATACCTTTGAATTGTATAACCTTCAAGCAAATTTTGGTGTAAATCTAATTATGCCAGTCATGCTCATGCCTTTGAACTGACTTTGTCATTGTTTACAGAAAGGCAAAAGCAGCCACTTCCAGGAATGGAAGTAGTAACTAGAAATATTAAATCTGTGTATTTAGAGCTTTCCACTTTCAAACTTTACAGCACTTATGTGTCTACTTTATGCTGAATATTACAAGCCATTTTGAGTGTAATCACTAGGCATTGGCTTTTGTTAGTGTAACTTTTCCCTGCAAACAATGCCAAGTGTTAAAATTGTTATGTTGCAGATTTGCCAAGGAAAAAGGTTTGAGAGTTGCCTTTTAAAAAGTAGTCTAGGAATATTGCCAAGATCTAATTTTAATTCCATATCCTCTAGTAGTATTTGGATTTTTATTATATCATGCTTGTAGTCTTACTCAACTTTTAGAATGACTGGAGACTATAATATTGCCTTGATAATGAGAATATTTGGTAAGAAAACTACTAGACAGGTAGTTTTCCTTCACCATCAGTTTTATCGCTGCCATTTTATTGTTGGTCATTTCAGAAGTTTTTGAACATCAGACTAAGTTCTGTGAACATGAAATTATATGGTTTCGCTTTGCAGGGTCATCCAAGAGTATGTGATGTATATTTATGGAGAGTATATATATTAAGACATTTGTAATTCCTTAAAGTGTTTGTAATAAAACTAACATTTTTCTTAGGTTTAGAGATAAATAGTGGAAAGCTGCCCACAAACTGTTAAAGATTATGCCCTGTTGTAGGTGGCTCCAGAAGAATTTAAGACCAGCATTGGCCGTGTGAATGCATGTTTGAAAAAGTCTCTCCCAGTCAATGTGAAATGGCTGCTGTGTGGTTGTCTCTGCTGCTGTTGCACACTGGGTTGCAGCCTGTGGCCTGTTATTTGTCTCAACAAAAGAGTGAGTAATCATTTTATTGTATAATAATAATAAGAGCTAACCTTTATGGAACACTTACTATGCACCAAAGACTCTTTCCAAGTACTTTACATGGTTTATTTAATTCTCATAACAATGTTATCCTTTTTGTAGAATTAAGGAAACTCAGGGACAGAGAAATCAAGTTATTTGTCCAACCTTTATCAATACTTTATCACTTAATATGGGTTCTCATCATTTTAAATAAATGCAATGTAAGTGAAGTACTTAAGTAATTATAAATGTAGATAGGCTACTTACACTTTTTATAAAACCTGAAGCCATGACTTAAGTTATTTCCAGGTTACAAGTATATGGGAAAGCTTCTTCTGATCCAAAGAAAGGCAGAAGTGATAATAACCTACAAAGTTTGGGGGAAAATCCTTATTTTTCAACACATTACAATAACATTCTAACATGACATTACTAGTATGTCGTGGATTTAAGACTATTATCTTAATCTTGTCTTCTTTAAAATTTCATTTTAGTTTTTGGAATTCTTTTCCCCATTGGTAAGATATCTTTTAAAAATTTTAATTAAAGCCAATGAGAAAAATTAATTCATTTTTCCTAGTACCATATTAATGATTTCATTTAAACTTTTAAGTAATGTTTAGCCCACTAAATCAGATTGAAAATTATAGTACCTTGTGGAGGAATAATTGGTGGCACAGTAGTTTCTTTAAGGCCACAAATATTCCCAAGAAGTACTCATTATTATTTTTCCTCTCCATCTTTTTCCTATCTTCTTTAATGTCTGTTTGAAAAAGACAAATAACAAAATACTGCCTATGAGTTTTTAATGGAAAAGTTAAGCATTTTATTGATTCCCTTGGTAAACACTAGTTGGTCAGAGCTTTACTTTAAATACAGCTTAGTTTATTGTTTGTCAAAGCATGTTCAATATTTTTGTATGGCTTTCTATCAGTAAAAAAAAAAGCTGACAGCATAAGTTCCTTTCCTTAACTGTTATATCTTACTTTTAAAAGTTATAATCTATAACTCCTACCTATCTCCATTATTTTAAAAGCTTCAATGCGAATTACTCATGATTTGGATTTCTCATCATGTAAATAGAGCTAACCTCAGTTACTTAAGAAGAGATTTTTTTATTTTAATGTTATCCATTATCTATCTTTTTTTCTGATGTCCTCTTTATGCTTTGCCTATTTGTAAATACTTCCACCAGAAGGCCTGAAATAGGGAGACCAGTTTTGTTTTTTTTTTTGATCATTTGATTTTACTATGAGCACTTCTAATAGAATATTCAGTGGAAAATAGGATAACACGGATGCTGTGATCTCTCCCTATTCTTCATTACTTTGGATAATTAAGAGTTCAAACTGAAATTGAGTTATCTGTGTATTCAAATTCCCTTATCTATCAATTTAAATAGTTTAATTAATATAGATTTGCAAACTGTCATCCATGAGCCAAATCCAGCCCACTGTGTTGTTAAACATAGGAGTCAATTACCAACATTTAAAAATGGGAATATTTAAAATAAAATTTGGGATATCTAGTCTCTCATAAAATCTAAAGATCTGGCAATACTAGACTCACATGCCTATATTTTAGCAATTGGCTCTAGCTGAGTGGCGGCTGCTCCTTTTAAATAGAACAGTCTCTAGTTCACCACAGAACCTGCCTTGCTCTATTAGGCACTGTAGTCCACAGCCTCTGATTTTGTATATGCCATGTTGTCAACACTCTACTAGACAATGAAACATGAAGTACATGCTGATGAACTTGTTCAAAACACTGTCCTTTCTAGAGCCTCAGTCTCCTCACCTATAAAATTGGAGTAATACTACTTACTTTTAAAGAGGTTTTGATGATGAAGAGATTTAAGAGATTTAGCTTTTTTGTCTACATATAAAATAAAATAATTTAAGAATTTTATGCCTTCACTACTGCTTCCTAATTTGTAAAATAAGTTGTATAGACTATAATTTCTATAATAGTTTAATTGGAAGGATGATTAACATTCATAAAGTCCAAATCCCTTATTTTACAGGTGTGGAAACTGAGATCCAGAGAGGTGAAGTAACTTTCTTAGGGTCACGCAGGAAATAGCACAACCAGAAAAATAATCCTTACTTTTTTTTTGTTTCATTTTTGTCTCTAACACTGTATTTCCTTGACTACATCATATTTCTTTCATCAAATTTCCTGAGGTAAGAAACATTAGGATAAGTGGTATGATAAATAGTTGGCCCACTGGGTTTTAATTCTCTAGCATTGGTTGGAAAATTTTTTCATAGAGAACCAGATAGTAAATATTTTAGGTGTTGTGGGCCAGAGGTCTCTGTTGCAACCACACAGCTGTGCCATTATAGCATGTAAACAGCTATAAATAATACATGAGTGAGCATTCCTGTGTTCTCATAAAACTTTATTTACAAAAACAGATAGTAGACCAGATGTGTCCTGTGGGCTATGGTTTGCCATCCTGCTCTAGCCATCTCTAATTGAGTATCTAGCTTTATAGAAGTCATGTCTCTGTTTAGCCACAAAATACAATGGAAATAATAGGATTATTCTGTCCTACATCAAAAAAGTTGCTATGTGAACTAATGATTGTAAAATGTTTCCAAGGAAAGAACTTCTATGTAAACAGTCTGCCTTATGAACTATATTATTAACCAGTATTAATTCATAGACTTTTTCTTTTTTAATTTCAAAATATTAAGGGAGTACAAATGTTTTTGGTTACATGGATCACTTTTGTAATGTTTGAGTCATAGCTGTAAGTGTGCCCATCTACCAAATAGTGTTCATTATACCTGTTAGGTAGGTTTTTACCCCTCCCCTTTCCCCCTCCCCCTACATGATTTCCACTGAGTTTTACTTCCTTCTTTGCACATATGTGCTTATTGATTGGTTCCAGTTTAATAGCAATTACATGTAGTGTTTGTTTTTCTATTCACTAGATACATTACTTAGTATAATGGTTTCTACTTCCATCTAAATTATTGCAAAAGACATTAATTTGTCCTTTTTATGGCTCAGTAGTACTTCTTCATGTATATATACCACATTTTATTAATCCACTTATGAATTGATGGGCACTTAGGTTGATTCCTCATCTTTGCAATTGTGAATTATGCTACAATAAACATTTGAGTGCAGGTGTCTTTGTGATAAAAAAATTTCTTTTCCTTTGGGTAGATACCAAAGTAGTGGGATTGCTGAATTGAATGGTAGTTCTACTTTTAGTTCTTTGAGGAATCTCCATACTGTTTTCCATAGAGGTTATACTAATTTGCAGTCCCACCAATAGTGTACAAGCATTCCTTTCTCTCTGCATTCCTGCCAGCATATATTGTTTTCGGAATTTTTAATAAAAGTCATTCTAACTGGGGTAAAATGATAACTAATTATCATTTTAATTTTGCATTTCCCTGATAATTAGTGACATTGAGCATTTTTTCATATGTTTGCTGGCCATTTGTCTATCTTCTTTTGACAAGTTTCTGTTCATGTCTTTTGCCAACTTGTTAATGGGGTAGTTTGGTTTTTTTTCTTGCTGACTTACTTGAGTTCTTTGTAGATTCGGCATATTGACCATTTATCAGATATAAAGTTTGTGAATATATTCTCCAATTCTGTAGGTTGTCTGTTTGCTCTGTTGATTATTTCATTAGCTGTGTAGAAGCTTTTTACTTTAATCAAATCCCATTTATTTATTTTTGTTGTTGCTATAATTTGCCTTTGGGGTCTTAGTCATAAATTCTTTCCCTAGGCTGATACCTACAAGAGTTTTCTCTACATTTTCTTCTAGAATTCTTATGGTTTCATGTCTTACTTTTAAGTTTTTTATCCATCTTGAATTAATTTTTGTAAGTGGTAACAGATAGAGGTCCTGTTTCCTTCTTCTGTATGTGGCTATCCAATTTTCCCAACACCATTTGTTGAATGGGGCTTGTCTTCTTCAATGTGTTGTCTGCTTTGTCAAAGATCAGTTGGTTGTAGGTAAATGGTTTTGCATCTGAGTTCTCTGTTCTGTTCCATTGGTCTGTCTCTATTTTTTACCAATACAGTGCTATTTTGGTCACTATAGCCTTATAGTATAATTTAAAGTCTGGTAATGTGAAGCCTCCAAATTTGTTCTTTTTGCTTAAGATTGCTTTGGCTATTCAGGCTCTTTTCTGGTTCCAAATGAAGTGTAGAATTATTTTTTCTGGATCTCTGAAGTATGGTGTTGGTATTTTGATATTGATCGCATTGTATCTTTAGATTACATTAGGTAGTGTGGACATTTTAACAATATTGATTCTACCAGTCCATGAGCATGGTATGTTTTTCCATGTATTTGTGTCCTCTGCAATTTCTTTCCAAAGCATTTCATAGTTCTCCTTTAGAGATCTTTCACCTCCATGGTTAAGTATATTCCTAGATATTTTATTTGCTCTGCAAGTGTTTTGAATAGTATTTAATCTTTGATTTGACTCTCAGTTTGACTGTTATTGGGATATAGAAATGCTACTGATTTATGTACATTGATTTTGTAACCTGAGACTTTGCCGAATTTATTTATCAATTCCATGAGTCTCTTGGTGGAGTCTTTAGGATTTTCTAGATACAAGATCATATTGTCAGTGAAAAGCAATAGCTTGGCCTCCTCTATCCCTTATTTGGATACCCTTCATTTCTTTCTCTGGCCTGATCACTCTGGCTAGGACTTCTAGCATTCTATTGAAGAGAAGTGGTGACAGTGGGCATGTTTGTCTTGTCAGTTTTTAAGGGGAATGTTTTCAATTTTTCCCCATTTGGCATGATGTTGGCTGTGGGTTTGTCATATATGACTTTTTAAATTTTGAGATATATTCCTTCTGTGCCTAGTTTGTTGAGGGTTTTTATCACAAAAGGTTGTTGGATTTTGTCGAATGCTTTTTCTGCATCTATTGAGATGATCATACGGTCTTTTGCTTCTGTTTATGTGGTGAATCACATTTATTGATTTCCATATGTTGAGCCAT